TTTATTGTTATTTCAGGAATGGTTTGGAAATCTTTGTCGCAGTTTGTGAAGTTATGTTTATCCTGTTTATTCTGACCTCCACATACAGAGAGTTCAATAAATTCAGAAACACTGGTTCTAAGGAATACTTCTCAGATCCCTGGAGTTATGTAGAGGTGGCAATTGTCTGCCTGGGATACTCAGCTATTGGTCTGTTTTTACAACGTTTAGTCACAGTAAACTTCACCATTGCCAGTTTCCATGACCATGGCAGAGAGGAATTTGTGAACTTTTTTCCAGCAGCATTCTGGGACTACATCCTGGGCTACACCTTGGCTGCTATGCTGGTGCTGACCGTGCTCAAGGTTTTCAAACTGCTACGGTTTAATGTCAGCATGAACATGTTGTCTGCCACTTTGAAGAAATCTTGGAAGCCTACACTACATTTTTATCTAGTTCTAGCTCTCCTCATGATGGCCTATTCCTTCTTTGGGCAATGTGCTTTTGGTCACTACATTGAACACTTCAAGTCCTTATTGGACTCCTTACAGACTTTGTTCACTCTGATCATGGGAGGATTTGAGTTTGCAATTCTGGGAGACTCAAACCGTGTCATTGGTATCATGTTTCTGATCACCTTTGCCATGATAGTCCAGGTGTCGCTGATCAATATTTTCATTGCCATTATAAACGAATCATTCAGATGTGTTCAGAAGACCACCAAGGAGACGTCCAATGAGATGGAGATGGTGGACTTTATGTGGACGAGATTACTGGTGATTCTTGGTCTCCACACAGGGGCAGGGGTCACCATTCCATCCACTATTGACCCAAAGATACTGCAACAACTGGCTACTGGACGTGGCGTGGACAGGAAGCAAAATTAGAACGTTTCATCTGATATAGATTTTAAAATCAGACGATTTAAGTCTTTTTTACTACAATATGTTTATAAAGACATTAAATGCTCCATCAATGAAAACAAGGTGATACTATTTCAAGGCCAGTTTTGTATGTTAACCAATAATGTGGGACCTAGCAGGATTGGAACATGATGCCAATGTGTTAAATAGCAGACTATGACAGATATGAATTAAGTAGCAGTTGTACATGCAATTATGACACTTTAATTATGCCTCAAATAGGATGCTATTGCAAAATTGTGTAAATATGTGTGTATTTTTTAAAGGAACTCCTCCAACAAGTTTTATGAATTTCCCATTTCAAAAAGTACGAAATGCTAAGTTTTCTTGTCAGCCAGGATTAAAAGGTCACATTCTGTGTATACAATTCGTTAAGATTATAAAATGTGTCATCAGTGCAGTTAATGTTTAACTATGGAAATAAATCATTTCTAATCAAACCAGAGATGATTTATAAATATATCTGTGAGAACCTTCAGTTATGTAATGTGTACAAGACACAGGTGAACATGCTTTGAAAATAATCTCAATCCCTTTCTGTCCACAGTTCATCAGTAACAATACATTTTACAATGAGAGCAGTTTTCTCAGCATCACTCAACAGGTCACATTGTAACATAGAGACAGTCCTGCTGACTCTGAAACTCACAGAATCAAATTCCTCAGAACATGTGTCCTGTTTTAACACCAAAGACTGCTATAAGGTAGTTTGGCTGTATTCCACCAGATGACCCTATTACCAAGACAAGCCATGAGCTATGGTGCAAGTCTTTCCAGTAGCCATCCATTCTCCACTTTCAGTGTCATCTTGGGGTCGATATGTTCCCCCTCCTCGGGTCTCCGGAATACCAGTCTGTCATGGACGCGGTTGGTCTGGCCCTGCCAAAACTCAAACTTGTCTGGTTTCACCAAGAAGCCACCCCTGAAATTTGGGAAAAGAGAAAATTACAGCTTACTGTTATTGACATTACTAATGAAATGGATGCCAGTAAATCCAGGATTAAAATTCACACTTGTTTACTCCCATTTATCATTGAGGGGTTTGTCATTAAAAATGCCCAACACCCTAAGTTCACACACAGCACAGAACTGTGTGGTTCGGTGTAGATAATTCTATGAAAATCTGACTGTTAAATTGTTATTCCTCATCATCCTGGTGGTCCCCCCAGTTTTGGAAGGAAAAATGTGTGCTAGTAACTGATTAAAATTCACCAAGATAGAAGATGCACCATTCTTCTGAACTCTCCCAGGGAGATATGCATCCCCTCTTTCCAGAATCACATGCCACTGTCTACTGAATCGCTTTTATGTCACATTTTAATTTGTTAAAACTTGGAACATGGACTTGCCTTATTCTAAATAAGATTCAGGGCTCGACAAAGGATTGCCCGATTGCCCGGGGCAAGTAGACATCGATGTCGGGCAAGTCCACTCACCTGAATGCTTGCCCGATCGGGCAAGTGTCAAAATAAAGTATAAGAACGGATATTTAATTTCATAAAATCGTGAAATCTTTGTAAATAGTGCACCAAATCTTCACTTTCGGTTCTTACAATCGCGTAAAATTTTAACTGGCGCCATACTGGCGCGTAGTAATAGCAGGCAGTTCTCTCGTAATAAAGATCTACTATACATACATTATGATGTTGCTCGAAGTGCGCGTAGCAATGCTGTGAAGGCTGACAAGTGACCTGTTCCACAAAAATATATCGAAACTGAAACAAGTAAGGGCCAATAAAAAACATACTGCTCAAAAACACTGAAAACAGGTTGCTCAAACTGGTTACAAGCGACCGCACACGGGACCTCTGAGAACACCTAACTACACGTGCTGGGTAAACAAATATGGCTTCAGCCGGGCCGCATGTTGAGTAATCGTTAAGTAAAAAGGAGAAGTATTCTTTTGTTATTTGGGTGGGTGTTTTTAACTAAATTTTAACAGACATTTTTTGTAACATTGCACATTTAGTGGCGCTATATGTCTCAAAATGAGGGACAACATCATTTTCAATGCAGGAATTACGCGATGGCACAGTCAGTATGCAAAATTGTCCATCATTATATCCACCTAAACAAACCAGCTTAGATATTAAAAAAAAATTCACTTTTTGGGGGAGGGAAGGGGGCAGTGGAAATTAGCTGGGGATAAGTGAAATTTGTCTGCAGTAAGCTTGACTGGACAGGTCACCTGAAAAATAAGTGTCAAGCACTGCAGCAGTGTAATAATCACTAATGTTTGAATGTCTAAATTCATTAATAGATATGCCAACTAATTTTAGTAATGTTATATAGTTGTTTGCTAGATTTTATGTAAATATAGATATATGCTTAATTATTTTCAGGTCAAAAAAGAATGCAAATATTTCGAAAAATAAAAATTCTTTTCAGAGCCTACGCTTTTTTTCACAAAAAAGGGAATTGTAAAGCTTTTCTATGCAGTGTGATTATTCAGCACCTTACAATTATTAATTTTTAAAGATTTTATTTTATTCAGTGCAATTTTTCAGACAGAGCAATTGATGTAAGATTTTTCCACACTACAATTATTTAGAACTTCAGAATAGTGGCATCCAGCCTTTTTTCAGTGTTTTTAATCATATAAAAATATTGAAATATAATGATTTTTCACTAAATAATTCACAACACACATTTTTTAAAATGGCCCACTTTTTTTTTACCAAGTGGGCCTAAATGGCCCGACCAGATTTTGGACCCAGGAAGATCCCTGTACACACCACAATATGTCGGACTGATACAAATAAAATGCCTACAATATATGTAACTAAATATATGTCTGCTAATTTATAAATGACAGCAAATAGGAACTTAACATAGAAACAAAATACTCCATTTGACTGAATGTAGCTGACAGCCAAGCCCTAAGTTACATTCATTAATAGCACTGTAAGCAGTAACTTTGATATCAATATGAATTCCATACTGGAATGACAGTAGGTACTAATATTACTAATATAACTATGCTATTTCAGATATTTCACAGAATGGAACCCCAAAAACCAGAATAAAATTGAAATGAAGAAAGATAGAAACACTCTGTTCATTTTTTGTATGGTAAAATTCGGGCAAGTGAGTTTCCAGTTCGGACAAGTCAATTTTGCTGAAAAAGTTATTGTAGAGCCCTGAGATTGGAAATCTATTCAAATATAAAATTGATCTTTAAAATCATACATGATAAAGTATCACTTCATACCAATAATCTGGTTTGGGTATCACTGAATCCTCTGCTTTATATTTCTCTTCTAACTCCTCATTCTTTTGGTCAAGAACCTACAAATTAATAGGATAATTCCTGCATTGGTGGAAAACAGTAATTATACATAATTCAAAGGGAATTTAGAATTTTTCTACACGAGAAGAAGTACAGAACATAATTAGTCCCTTCAAATATTGAGAGTGAGCTCCATCTAAAAAATTTCAGATAAACAATACTTCACTTTTCACCTTTTAAAAATTAATTTGTGAAAAAAAAAAAAAAATATATATATATATATATATATATATATATATATATATATATAT